GAAGAAATTTGGGGGTTGAAATTCGTCGCTGAAAAAGGTACTGTTTCTGTTCCTTTTGCTTGCTTCTTTAATTAATGAAGTAGATTTATAGTTTACTTGTTTGGTATGATATTTGAATTGGGTGTAATTTTTTAATTTGATCTTTAATGCTGTTTGTTTAGGGAAAGTATGCATAATTCATTCTAAAAAGAAAAAATGGGAGGCCGTTATTCCAATTTTCATCCCCCAAGTTCGGTTGAAATAAATTACTGTTTCCTTCCAGTTGTAGAATAAAGGGATAGTAAACTGTAGAATTGGAGTCATTTGATTTTGAAAAGCAAATGAAAATGATGACAGAAGCTGTAGTAAGTCGCGGCAAAGAAGAAAGAAAGCCACTCTGAATTTGGGAAATTTTGGTATCTACAAAACGTAAAGAGAGAAATTTATGCGAAAGAGGAAAGAGGAACCCTTTATTGTTTTTCCTTCTCTTCCCTCATCATTTCGACTTATTTGATTGGAAAAGAGACTATTCTTTTCTTGGAAGAGGAAAATATGTTATGTATTGTATATTTAGTCCAAAGAAATCTAAGATGCTACCATAAGAGCATGTTTGGTTTACGAGATTGCATTGGATAAATTTTATAAGATAAGAGATAATTGGATTAGATATGATAAGATATATTATAATCTAATCATATGTTTGGGTGATTATGGGATAAATATTAAATTAGATATAAAAATTTACTTATATGGACAAAAATATCTTTAAATTATAATTAAATCAATATTACTATTTTTTTTATCTTATTTTAATTTGTTTTTCAATAGTTATGGATTAATATTAATAAATTAATTATCATTAATTAATTGAATATAATTACAACAAAATCCCAATTAGGCAGTTTTAATTATCATCAAAAATTTCCATCATTTTCTCATAAACCAAACAGACAGGCCACCAGAGTATCCTAACAAACCCGGTTTAGGTGCATCTTCAAGCAAACTAAAATTGGGATGAAAAATATCTTTAAATCCACCAAAAGAAATTTGTTGATTGTTTGCTAGAAATTTAAAGAAAATTAACAAATAAAATTGAATCTTTTTAAATCAAAATTCTACCAAAAAACAAAAAAGAAAAAATCAAAGGAAATGAAATACAAGATGAACAGGACTCATCCATTCCCTCACCGTCTCCCTTCCTCCCTTGGCCTTCACCTGGGACTCCACAACTTCCCTTCACCTACATGACCAGAACTAGAGATTTAAGAAGTCTTGATCTTTTCCGATAAAATCTCATCAGAGATTTGAAGTTCCAAACTACTATTTCATTCTTCGATATCAACCACGAACCCAAACGAAATTGAATCATTTTTCTGGCTAACTTCTTCGATTCCCAACATTGCTGTCATCTTCAATTCATCTTTGATAGCGGATCTGTCTGGAGATGTAAGGATAGGTCCGAGGTGTCCAACCTCGGACGTACGACAGTAATTCCCGTATAACCGAAGTGAAGGATAAATCCAAAACTTCCTGCTCAAACAGCTACATGCTAGCGACAATAAGCATGCTTACGCCTGATTCCTTATGATAAGCTACACAGCAGTTATGATGGACATCCTTGCATCTGAATATCTCTCAATTTTTCGGTCCCGAAATAATCATCTAGAGAGACACGTCAGACTCAGAATATCTTGCTTGACATGCCATGTGGGTTCCTCACTGAAGCCTATAAATACTCCCCAGGGGTCACGTCAAAAAGGTAATTGAAACCAACCCTAGACTCCTTTTATCTCCACTCTTAAGGTAGCCCCGATTATTGTTGACTTAAGTATCGGAGTGTCTACTCCGAGTTCAACCTCGGGGCTTTGCAGGTCCATCCGGAGTGCAGACGCGGACTGAAGAAAGACTTTTGGTTTGGTGCAATTACATTTGGCGCCGTCTGTGGGAATCCAAACTGAAAGCTCCCTTGTTGCTCTCATCATGGTTAACACTCGATCAGTCTGAGCTGGAAACTCATCTCAGCCTCTTGGACGAGGTCAGGTCCCCAGCAACCTTCCACCTCACCTCCCACCTTCGATCCCAAATATGTCCCCTCTTGTTGATCATGCAGAAGGAGGAGATGAAAACCAACCACACAACTCAGCTTCTACTGCCAACCAAGACATAGTTGCAGCTCAGCTTGCTGCCATGCAACAACAATTTGGTGTCTTTCAGCTAGTATTGGCTCAACTATTAGCTCGGAATAACCCTGGTGATCCCCTCATCAATTTACTTAACCCTGCTCCACAACCCCCAACTCCACAGCAAAACCCTGAACCAGTTCAGCATGCTCCTACTCTTAGTGAATCTTAGGGTCAATCTCACATAGCACCAGCTCAGCAACCATTTCCTGATGATGTCACTCGACGTCTAGACAGCTTAGAAAAGCTAGTAGCTGAACAGCGAGGTGCCCCACCTCCACACCATGTTGCTGACTCCATACCCCACCCTCTGAACACCAATATCACGTTGGAACCCTACCCTGCTGGCTTCAAAATACCTTAGCTTGAGACTTATGATGGGACGAAGGATCTCGATGATCACCTACATGCTTTCTACTCTTGTATGCAAGTTTATAACGCCTCTGACGTGTTGATATACAAAATCTTTCCCTCTACTCTTTGAGGTAATGCTTGAACCTGGTATTACAGTCTACCTCCGAGGTCGATAAACTCTTATACAGAAATGGCATCTGCTTTTGCCATAAAGTTTTCCAGTAGAAGGTTGATCAGGAAAACTACTTTTGAGTTGATACGAGTTAAACAGAGGGACAGAGAGTCTTTGAAGAATTACATGAGCAGATTCAATGATGCAGTACTGGAGGTTAGCTCCTTCGACCAGGCTGTAGGAATTGCAGCTGTGATCTCAGGTCTTAACCATGAGAGATTCAGAGATAGTTTGCTCAAGCATTCTGCCACCACCTTTAGCAAGGTGAATGATAGGTCTCTGAAATTTATAACTGCTGAGGAATATGCCTTGTCGTAGAGGCCAACTCCCTCTAAGAACCAAAACCCAGACTGGAGAGATGAGAATCGGAGCAGGAAATGGATGAGGACAGCACAGAATCGAGGTCCGATGTCGACCTCCACACCGAGATTCGGAAGGCCGAACTCAGCACCTCCACAACAGTCTGCAGGTAAACCTTCAGTTACTTGGATTCCTTTTAACTTGCCGAGGTCACAGATTTTCATGCAGATTAAGAACAAGATGAATTTAAGGCGTCCGGGTCCAATGAGAACTGTTGCTGCTAGCCGAGATCATACTAAATATTGTGATTTTCATCAAGATCACGATCATACAACAGAGCAATGCAACAATCTGAGGTCCGAGCTGGAAAGTCTAGCTCAAAAAGGAATGTTGAATGAGTACATCCAAAGAGCTGAACAGCTAAGATTTGTTAGAGAACAGGGACCACAGCCTCAAGGAACCCGTAATCCACCGAACAGACAAGGAGTGGGACATCAACAAGCCCCACCTCCACTTCCACCACTAGCCAAAATTATACACATGATTACAGGAGGATTGGAAGCAGGAGGGATGAGCTCCAAACAAAGGAAGTTATATGTCAGAGAGGTCAAGCACTAGAACTGAGCTCAGAAAAGGAAAATTGATGATGCTGACTGGAAAGATCAACCAATCACTTTCACACCTGCTGATTTTGAAGGGGTGGTAACACCTCACAACAACGCTTTGGTCATCTCTGTAATGATCAACAATTGTCAAGTCCAACGTGTACTTGTCGATACTGGTAGTGCACCTGATATCATGTACTACCACTGTTTTGAAAGCCTAGGGCTCAACCCAGCCCTGCTACAACGTTATGATGGTCCCATATATGGCTTCAACAACCAACCAGTTCCAGTTGAAGGGATCCTAACTATGAATATTGCGTTTGGAAGTGGCCGAACCTATGTAACTCCTTCAGTTCGGTTTTTGGTGGTCAAGATGCCTTCTTCTTTCAATGTTGTCATTGGCTGGTCTACATTAACAAAGATTCGAGTTGTGGTCTCTCAATCTCATCTCTGCATGAAATTTTCAACCTTCATGGGAATTGCAACACTCAGAGGTAACCAAGAAGTGGCCAGACACTGCTATCTCACTTCGGTTACAAGACCTCAAAAAAACAAAGATCAACCAGCAAAGAACCCTCCACCGGAAATCCACAACAATCGACAAGTGATGGGGGTTGAAATCCTTAATAACCGACCTGAAGATGAAACCTGAGCTGCTTCGGGTGAAGATGTTGAGGAGGTATAGATTGATGACAAAAATCCGAATAGGAAGACACAGATAGGAACTCGGTTGAAGCCTGAGGAGAGAGCAGAGTTGATAGCCTTTTTCCGAGCTAACAAAGATGTTTTCGCATGGACCTCAGCAGACATGCCGGGAATTCCCACCTCGGTATCTCAACACAAGCTCAGCATTAATTCACTCAAGAAACCAGTGGCCCAAAAGCAACGCCTCTTTGGGGGGGGGGGGAGAGGTTAAAGGTCATAAAAAAAAAAGTTGAAAAACTCTTACAAGCTGACTTTGTCAGACGGGTCGATTACTGTGAATGGGTCGCCAATCCTGTGTTGGTGAAAAAAGTAAATGGCAAATGGCGGATGTGCATCGATTACACTAACCTCAACCAGGCATGTCCAAAAGACTGTTACCCAATGCCAAACACTGACAAGCTGGTTGAGGTAGCTTCTGGAAACGAGAGATTAAGTCTCTTGGATGCATACTCTGGCTATCACCAAGTCCCCATGGCTCTTGGGGATGAAGAGAAAACCTCGTTCTATGTCGGAGATGAAATCTATTGCTACGTGATGATGCCCTTCGGCCTAAAGAACGCAGGTGCCACTTACCAGAAGATGGTTACCATCGTATTCCGAGCTCAAATAGGCCGGAATCTGGAAGTTTATGTTGATGATATTGTGGTGAAAAGTTTGAAAATTGAAGATCATTTAACTGACCTCGAGGAGACATTCAACAATCTCAGAAAGAACAGAATGAGGTTGAATTCAGCAAAATACATCTTCGGTGTGGAGTTAGGAAAATTTCTAGGCTTCATGGTGTCCAGAAGGGGAATTGAGGTTAACCTCGAGAAGATCAAAGCAGTAGCTGAGATGAAGCCACCGAAGTTAATAAAAGATGTACAGAGGTTGACAGGGAGAGTAGCAGCTCTTCATAGATTCATCTCGAAATCAGCAGATAAATGATTGCCGTTCTTCAAGATCATGAGATTGGCAGCCCAGAAGGATGAATCTGGTAAACAAAAGAAATTCGAATGGAATTCAGAATGCCAAGCTGCATTTGACGAGTTGAAGTCTTATCTTAGCTCACCTCCTTTGCTGACAAAGGCTAATGATGGAGAAATCCTTTACTTTTACCTCAGCATATCAGATGAAACTATCAGTTTTGTGCTAGTGAGAGAAGAGGGGAAGCAACAGAAGCCAGTTTACTACACCAGTAGCGTGTTACATGGAGCTGAAATCAGATATTCTATCACTGAGAAAGCAGCCTTAGCAGTTGTCACTTCGGCTAGGAAGCTGAGACCATATTTCCAATCACACCCGATCATAGTCCTCATGAATCAGCCCCTCAGACAAATCTTACAGAAGCCAGAATGCTCAGGAAGATTGATCAAATGGGCAGTTGAACTGGGAGAATTTGAGATAACATTTCAGCAGAGGTCAGCAATCCGAGCTCAGGCTCTAGTAGATTTTATAGTAGAATGCACCTCGGCTCACTCTGATTCCCAGCCTGGGCTGGACAACTGGATTTTGTATGTTGATGAAGCATCAAGTAACAAAGGTTCTAGTGTTGGTGCAATCCTACTTGGCCTAGATGGGTACAGAAGTGAACATGCTCTGAAATTTAACTTCGATGCGACAAACAATATGGCTGAGTATGAGGCTCTGTTACTTGGCTTACAGTTGGCAATAGAACTGAAGGTTGTGGCAATACAAATATACAGTGATTCACAACTAGTAGTCAATCAGGTCAACTCAGTTTATGAAGTGGTCGATCCTGTCATGATGAAGTATGCAACTCTGGTCGCCGAGCTGAAGTCCAAATTCCAGAAATTTCAGTTGAGAAAAATACCCCGAGCTGAAAAGGAGCAAGCAGATTCCCTCTCCAAATTTGCTTCTGATGGCAACCGAAGTTCCAGATTGGTCTTCGTTGAAATTCTAGACGAGCCTAGCTTCTTAAAGCCAAAAATGATGGAGATCAGCACAGATCCCAGCACACTGAGCTGGACAAATCCAATTATCTCGTTTTTATGAGATGGCACAGTGCCTGCAGATAAACAGGAAGAAATGAGGTTGAGGAAGAAAGCATCTTGGTACACCCTTGTTAATGATGTCCTCTACAAGAGATCTTTCTCACTCCCTCTACTCCGCTGTTTGAACCCTTATGAGGCTGAATACGCACTTTGGGAGGTGCATGAAAGTGTCTGCGGAAGTCACATAGGTGCTCGAACTTTGGCTCATAAAGTCCTTAGACAAGGATATTATTAACCCAACATGTATAAAGATGCCACTCAATTCGTACAGAGGTGTCAGAAATGTCAATTCTTCGCACACCTAATCCACCAGCCAGCAGAAGAGCTCACTAATCTGGTAACACCTTGGCCATTTGCTCAGTGGGGACTTGATCTTTTAGGTCCATTCATGAAGGGGGTCGGAAGTGTAACCCATTTGATTGTTGGTGTGAATTATTTTACGAAATGGGTTGAAATTCGGCCATTATCCAGTCTTACCTCCAAGAAGGTCGAAGACTTTGTTTTCAGCTCAATCATCTGCAGATATGGGATCCCGAATCAGATTGTGGCTGATAATGGAACTCAGTTCAACTGTTCCTCATTTAGAGATTTCTGCTCTAGTTATGGGATCAAATTGCAGTTTATCTTGGTGTACCACCCAGAATCTAATTGGATGGTAGAATCTGTCAACAAGGTTATACTCGAGGGAATAAAACCAAGGTTAGAGCTACATAAGGCCAGGTGGGCAGACGAGCTCAACAATGTCCTCTGGGCATACAGAACCACGAGTTGAACTGCCACAGGTATTATTTCAAACCTGTTTTACTTGATCAATTTTCATATTATTTTACTTCTTCTTCTATGGCTTTATCTTAGATCAAACATGCATAACGCGTAAAGCGCATTCTAAAATTATAATTAACTGAAATAGGTGAAACACCCTATCACCTGGCCTTTGGTACCGAAGCAGTCATTTCTATTGAGATAGGAGTCCCAAGCTTCAGGGTCACCCATTTCGATGAAGGACGAAATGAACAACTGCTTCGAGAGAATCTTGATCTGCTTGATGAAGTCCGAGAAGAAGCACGACTTCGAACTTTAGTTTACAAGCAAAAAATAGACAACTTCTACAACAAACGAGCTCGACCCCGAACATTCAAAGTAGAAGACCTTGTTCTCAAGAAAGCTGGTCTAACGGGGTTCGAAACTCGATTTGAAAAATTAGCACCAAACTGGGAAGGCCCCTACACTGTAGCCGAAGTGCCGTAACCAGGTGCTTATATCCTACGGGACACTGAAGGAAAAAGGGTTCCTAGAGTCTGGAATGTCAATAACTTGAAGAAATTTTACCCTTAAATACACTTCTTTCTAGTGAACTTTGTCTTATTTTTATAATTGTCATTATTCTCTCTTTCTGCTCAATGTATATACGAGCTCAATTCGTTTATCTCATTAATGAGTTTCACTTCACATTTGAAGTGATTCAGTTCTTCCTACTTTTCTGTACATTGGAAGTGAATTTTACTCATTCCCGAAGTTAATTCATTGTGACTTATTCAGTCACTTCATTTTCTGGGTTACGATTTTATTAGTCAATTACACCTTACTTTTGAAATGATTTACTTTATCTTTTCTCATTTGTATATTTGAGGTTCGCCTCATGTATATCCGAAGTCAATTCCCCTGCTGTTCATTTTATTGTGTCGGAGGTCAGTTCCTTGTGTTAATTAAAGTCACTTTATTTTATCCGAAGTGATTTGCTTAAAATAAAACAGCAATCAGAAATCAACACTGAACACCAAAAATAACTTCAAAATTTTTTATAACTTAGTGAAAAATCAATTACAAAAATGTTCATTACAAATATAACTAAAAAATATAAAATCCTAAGCTAATCTGCTGAGAGAGGAGGCTGCTCCTCAACAAGAAGAGGTGGTTGAGGTGGCTCATCCCCAACAGGCAGAGGTGGCGCTTTTGCTTCAGGAGGAGCTAGCTGCTCTTCGCCAGAGGAAACTGGATGAACTTCAGGAGGTTAGACTTCAGCCGGATCTATCTAGTTCTCCACTTCAGCATCTTGCCCTCCTTCCTCTTCCTCTACGGCCACCAGCTCAGCATCAAAGGCTGGAGGGAAGATAGTGCGTCCCTCTGCGTCACGCTCCCACCTCAACTTGATTAGAGGTCGGAAGTCAGCAGAAAGACTTTCACCATCCTCCTCTACCCCTTTTTCTTGCTCGCCGAAGGTGACTGTCGTGACGTCCACTTCGGGATATTGAGCCTTCACCTTCTTTCTACAGTCGGTGAAGGTCAAAATTACGGTCGGCAGCCGGTAGAAGTTGATGATGTTCTCGAAGATGCTAGAGTTGAGGAAGTTGCCAATATGCTCCTCCATCCCGTTGTGAACCAGCAGCTCCACATTCTTTTTCAGCTCCACCATCCCTTGGTTCATCTTCTCGATATACTTGTCTTGAGCATCAAGCTTGTCTTCACAGATCTTCCTCTTACATTCTTCGAAGACAAGTCTCATGCATCGTTCTGGAGTTCGATCACTGTTGGCACAACCTCATCCAGTTTCCCCTGCATCTCCTTGTTCTTCTTCTGTAGCTCCTCCTTCTCCTTCTGCAGCTCCTCACACTGCCTCTGCAAGCTGGCACGATCTCTCACGCTCTCTGCATACTCCTGCACTAGAGCGTTTACCCAGCTTGCACTCTGCAATGTAAGCAGAAGTCAAAACTCAAATGCAGAAGTCAAAAAATCAAAAATAAAACATGAATAAACTACAACTTCTTTACATACCTCTAGGGCGTGCCTCACAACACAAGCCCCCAGCTGACTCACTGCCTCTTCCCTCGCCTGCCTCCTATCCACCTCTGGAAGAGTTTCAGAAACCGCTTCGCCTCAGTGATATTGGTTGCATCGAATAAGCTCTTCTGGAATGAAGGTGGAGGGATGAGCTCCTTGCCTTTGCCAGGGCCTCGCTCCTCGACCTCGTCCCTCTCCCTGACTTCAGGATCAACTTCAACAGGGGGAGGCCGAGGCACGAACTCAACCGCCTCATCCCTCCTAGCTTCTGGTTCTGCCACCTTCCTTTTCTTCCTTTGAAGTGGCGCCACCTCCTCGCTCACTTCTTCGTTGCTCCTCCTCATAGGCTCTGGCCTTTGTTGCATCTCCAGAGCTCGAGCAGAAGTGCTGGACAGACGTTCTTTCTCTGTTGCCCCCTTGTCTGCCACATTCGAAGTCTTTGACTTCTTCCTTGGCTTCTTGGGGATAGCCAGCCCTCCAGCAGCATTTAGAAAATCGTCCATCTCAGCTGCAAAACAAAAACAAGTGTGAAAACGTAACAACTGAAAGTTCAAGTAAGTTGTAAAAAGCAAAAATAAACAAACCTTCGCTTTATGAGCTTGGCCCATAGAGCTCAGCAGCCTTTATCGCCTCCGCGCTGGTGAGGTACATGATATCCACTAACTCCCCTTCTTCCCTCACCAGCTTCCCAACCTCTTCCACCTCATCCTCGTTTAACTTATAATTGTTCTGCTTGGTCTTCTTAGCTTTCCAAGCAGACAATTGTTCCACTTCGGCATCCCTCCTACTCCACTCGGTGTCAATTTTTCTTTCCATCCTTTAATGGATGACGGTCTAGCAGTGAATAAACTCCTATTCTCTTTGCTGGACGACTGAGGGCCGAAGTAGTACCACCCCTTCTCACCCTTACCCCCAGCCCTTATTACAAAGAAATGCTTAAACATATTTACAATAGGGATCCTAACCCCCCGAGCTCGGCAGTATACTATGAAGCCTATTATTACTCTTATAGCATTTGAGGTTAATTGGGTTATTCCTATACTATAATCTAATAATAACCCAATCAGTAATTTTGGAATGGGGAACCTAAGCCCTGCAGCCATAATGGACATACATGGGCATCCAGTGATCTCGAGGTGCTGAGCATGCTCTCTCATTCACCCCGGCAGGCCTAATTAGCATGTGGTGAGGAAGGTTGCAGTTACCCACGAGACCCCTAAGGCTACCCCTGCTACCCAATTCACTTACATACCCCTTCACCTTAAACACTATGTCCAAATTGGGGTCATAATACCTACCCACATTACCTTCAACCTCTATAATATTTGAGGGAATTTCTTCTTCCTCCTCTTCCACTACCCTTCACTCCCTCCTCTCCTCCACCGTCCTCTCCGAACTAGATGGAGACGGACTACTCTCTGAGTCCATGCCACCGTACTCCAGGGGCATCACCTCACTTCCTACTACACTCATTGTCCCTTCTGAAGACATTTCCTCAATTTCTGCATAAATTAGGAGGAATGGAGTCAGGACCCTTAAAAAATTCTAACACACACTCAATAGCATTCTTACTCCCAACCCTAACTTCCATCAAAAGACCCAAAATCAAAAACAGAAAGGGAGAAAGGAGAATCACACTTTGGTAAAATCAAAATCAGAAATTCATAAACTTTACCTGATTTTGGTCTTGTGAAACTGTTGTTGAAGTCTCAAACGAAGCACAGACCGCACGAAACCGTAGAAATTTAGCAAGAATTTGGTAGCAAAATAGCGAAAGTAAAAACCTTTTTTTACAGAAGTATTGCCTTTTATACCAAAGGCAAAATACGCCTCAACGGCTGTGATTAGCTCCATCTAACAGCTACAAAGACACCATTTCGAATTCAATGGTTAACCCCAAATGGCACCGTTTCGAACTCGACGGTTCGTTTTTTAAAATTTACCCGTTCGACTGTTGCAGTTATCTTTTTACAGCCGCATTTATTACATACGTCATTCAGAGGACAATTGTCACATCACGTACTGCCTCTTTGTCAGACTTATCAAACGGCCCCACTTAAGCCCATTTTAACACTCTTACTCACTTTTACACATTTTCAATTTTTTCAAGTGTTTTACTTCGGCAACCGACCTGATGACTCTGATCTTATTGATGAGCTAAATTTATATGCATATTAATAAGGAATTTTTACTTTGATATTATTAATATTTTGATGAGTTTTATGGGATTTTGTTTGATTTTATATGGTTTTCATTCTTTGTGTAAGAAAGGATTTAATTGGAAGAAATCCTACTTTGTAGAAGTAAATTGAAGAGATCAGAGACTTGAGGATCAACTTGTGCAGAATCCAGAAGTCAGGAACCAAATCTGCTATTTTACCATTAAAGAAATTGCAAAAGGAGACCAGAAACCCGACACGGATGTAGTGTCGACACATGATCGGGGTGTCGACACTATGCGTTAAACGTCCAGAATCAGATTCTGTATTCTATTTTGTGTCAACACGTAATCCGAAGTGTCAGCACCACGTGATCAGCATCCAAAAATTTAGTTTCCTATTTCTGTTCCAAGTCCTACTTCTATTTTAATTAGGGTTTCTAAAATCCTATAAATACCCATCCAAATTCAGAATTAAAAAAAGAGCTTTGTGGAGGCTGGTGTCAGCCCTCTTTTGGGTACTCTTGGAGGTCAAGATAGAGGATCTATCAAGGAGAAGATCAAGGATTTCAATTATCTCAAATTAGGTTTTGTTTTTCCTTAGACATTCTTATGTTCATAACTGTAATTTCAGATTTTATTATTTTTATTATGAACTGATTTATTTTATTAAGGCTATGATGTAGCCTAATCAATTCAATATAGATTTTATGATTTTATACTTTCAATTAAAGTTATTCGCGTGAGGAGTTTATATTATTGAACTTAATGCATTGGAAGTCTGATATCCTTTCAATTGATTTAGTGATTTATGCATGAACTTGAGAAAGAATTGCGTAGATTAGACCAATAATAATATAAACCGTGTGCTAGACTATGAGATCGAGAGGTAATTAGCTCACATGTGGTAGTGGAGGAAGAGAAGAGAGTTAGGAGCTCCCCCTTCTTAAGCTAGA